TTAAACATTTACAATATTAGCTAGGAAGTTAAAAGACAATTTATCCTTATTTGAGTTATAGGAAATGAATCAGCTAATAAATGTTAAAAACATAATGACTTTTTCAGATCAGACTAAGCAAATATAGAGTGAAGTAACAGATGGGGGTTAATATAATAGTTCTATAATACAACTAATTATAATTATTTTTAACATTTATTAGATTATTTACACATAAAGGAACAGTGTCAGGCTTGCTCAGGCAACTGTAATAGTTTAATTTTTTTTTTAACCTACTAGATCGGAGACAGCAAGGGAAAAGAAGGAAATAGGGCTGGATTGCTTTAAAAATCATAATTAAGCATGGGCAGTTGGTGAAGGAAGGGCTGGGTGAGGCAAGCCCCTAGCCCCACCTCCAGCTCTGCCCCATTCTTGTTCCCCCATGAGGAGGTGGAGTGGCATGCCATGTGCGTGCTCCCCCTTCCAACCACGGGGAAGCGTGCAGGCAGGCACACACCTGACCCAGCCTCTCCAGCCCCAGAGGAGGGCACGCTGTGCCGCGCAGCCCAGATCAATCTCTCCAGCACTGGTAGGGTGGGTGATGGGGGCAGTAACACTCTTCCTCCAATATGCCTACAGTAGGTATTCTGGGGAGTGGAGTGTGGGCGGGGCCAGGCTGCCAGTTTGGGATGGCAGAGCCTTCCTCTGCTTTACCCACCAGATACCCATGTAATTAAGTTTTCCTACCCTGAAATATTTACTGTGTAGTAGAGCACAAAGTAATAACAAACAACAATCATAATTAAGTCCTCTTACATGGAAGTAACTGACTAATGTGTTTCAACAGCTGTATGCATGCACTGTACTAGAGTTTGACACAAGCAGTTTCTTTTATTGTGCAGGTATATAGTTAAGAGGGAAGCTCTATCACTGGAATATGGATAGTAAGACTCTGCTGTTCAGTTCCCATTCATGATTCTGGGGAAATTACCTGCTCAGTGTGTCCACCATTGTATTCAGGAAACTGAGGAGGTAGTTAGGCTGAGATGTTTATATTGTGGTAATTTTACATCACAATGTAAACCACCAATTTTACAATTTCATGACCTCGGTGCACAGGGAGTTGGAGTGGGAGCCTCTTTGTTGATTTACTTAGAGCATACATGTGTTGTTGTCAGTCATCATGCATATTGGATCTTTTGGGGGAAACAGGTTAGTGTCAAGAGTGAAGACAGGTGTTGCAGATGATATGTAGTTCTAGGGGGTCATTATGTAATTAAGTCTGTAGAAGATTGCAGGAACCCTGGTCAATCAAGAAGGCATGTGTTGGAATTTTCTGGTCTCATTCACCACAGTAAATATTCCAGGACTTTTGATAGTATTGTTAGGCTTCTGGTCAGGTTGTTGCAGACAAAAGACCACAGAAAGTATCCCACTTTTCCTATGTATATTACCACTATAGTTTTTAAAAATTGAACTAGCATTGCTCAGGATAACTATCAGCCACTGTACCATGCTCTTCTCTAATCTGCAAGAAAAACATAGAGAAGACTTTCCCCCACTTTTAAATTTCAGATATGCTTATGTTAGTTACAAATTCAGAATGCTCACAATGACCATTTCAAATCCATAACAAAAAGCAGTATTTAAATGTTAAAATATTGTAGGACATCAAACTATAATTATCATTCATTTAAGTATCTCTACCTTTTTTTCATGGAATTTCCTCTTTTTGTTTCTGCAGCTTTCTTACGTTTAGTAGATCCTTGGGAATCTAATTTCAAAGGCTGTAAGAAAATTATAATTAAAGAATACAAAAATTGTCAATTAACAACAAAATACATAGTATCTCACCTGGTAAATAATTTTACTTTAATTACATATGCCTATTCTGTTGGCAAATCTATGTATTCAAGATACTATTATTGGTTTAGTTCTGATAATGTACTTGGTACTGTACAAGATGCAAATACCAAGGAAGTCCATGGTCTGAAGAATTTAAAATCTAAAAGATAAGCACAAAATTAGAAAATGCATTTTTATAATTTAAAAAATTAATCTGACCAGGTTAATGTTTTTATTAACATGAAAGCATGGGGCATGAAGACTCAAGAGTTGATCCATTAATAGAGATCTACCTGGGAGAAAAAAGGCACAAAACCAGGATATGAGAAGAAAGCAATTGATGCAGGAGCATCAGCATATCATAAAATGAATGAAGAGGAATACAGATATCTATGAGAGATGGAGTTGTGTGGGGCCTTACAGACAAGGATAGGTTTAACGATAACATGGTGGGCAAAGAGAAATAAATGAGGCATCTCAAATAGGTGCATGAAATAGTCAAACCAGCAAGGACCGCACTTCTGGCCCCTGTGTTTTGCACAATTTGGAATGGAACAATATGGACAACAGGAAGGACAGAAAGCAGAAAGTAAAGTAATGATAGTGAGATAAAACTAGTACATGTTGGACCTCATTGGTCCAGCACTCTCAGGACCTGATGAGTCCTGAACGAGGGGATTTGTCAGACCATAGAAGGTCCCTCCCCTCGTGGCTGTGCTGCTCCCAGCTAGGGCTCCAGCCTGCCCCCACTGCTGCTTCAGCCCCCCAGGTCTCTCCCCAGTCCCGATACTGAGTGCTATGGCCAGAGCTGCACAACCTGGGCTGTGCTCTGCAACCATCTGGTTCTGTGGTGGGGAGAAGAGATGGGGCCAGAGCTCTGTGGCCTGGGCCAGATTTTTCTAGCTGCCACTGGGGCTGGAGTTCCCCGGCCTCTAGAGCTAGAATGTGGCCAGAACTCTGTGGCTGGGATGGGGTCAGAGTTCCCTGGCTGCTGCTTGGGTCAGAGCTCCCTGGCCGGGGCCAGAGTTCCACAGTGGTGGCCAGGCTAGAGCTCCCTGGCTGCTGGGACCATGGAACTCCACTTGGGCCAGAACTCCCCGCCACGCCATCCAATCTCCTCCAATTCTTCCCCCCCCTCCCCCCCACACACTATGCTCCTGGCTGAGACACTGGTACCCCTTATGGTGCTGCTGCTCCACTACCAGACCTCCTCCTTCCTGGCTTCTGTGGGCCAGGAATATCTGTGGTCCATGATAGACCACAGATGTTGCCAGACCAGGGAATCCCAGTTGAGGGAGGTAGCAACCTGTACATGAAATGAAGGTTATTTACCTGTGACTAGGATTCTTTAAGATGGACTCTCACATTTTTGGAATTATGTGCCAACCAATGCAGCTGAACAGTGGAGCAGAGATTAATCACAACTCCACAAAACAGGAGGAGGAGGGAACAAAGTGGGAATTTGCAGCTTTCATCTCAGAAAACCTCTGTTACATGTAAGTATCCTTAATTTCATCCTCAAGTGTCCTCTGAACATTTCCACTTTTGGGACAGTTTGATAGAAAAACAGGTGATAAGACAAGCAGACTTAAGTAATTAAAGATTGGAGGATAGCCCTCCCTATGAAGCATCAAGCCTTGCAGTTATGTCTTATGCATAATGTTTAAAGTGTGTATTGAGCTCTATATGTTGCTTTATAAATTGTAATTAATGGAACATGTCTCAAACATGCTGCAGAAGTAGTGAGTGCTTTGGTAGATTGTGTTCTAAAAAGAGGAAGCAATTGTGAATCATTCTTATTACCCTCTTCTATATATTGTCTCTTCCAGCTAAATAAAATTTGAGCCAGAACAGCTTAGCCTTATAACTATCCACACAGGAAGCAAATAGCTTACATGAAGTCCTAAAAAACAAGATTCTGTCTAGATAGCAAGTAAAACACTTTTTAGCATCCAGACAGTGCAACTTTGACTTGCTCTCATGGACATGAGTTTTTTTGAAAGAACACTGGCAGCTTAAACAATTAACATTATTGACATTACTTTTGTAGGACATTAGGGTCAGGATTAGGACAAAACACTATCTTGCTCTTACAAAAAACTGTAAATGGAGGGGCGAGGAGTTCTGTGGCAACTTATAGACTAACTGAAGTGTAGGAGCATAAGCTTTCGTGGGAAAGACCCACTTCGTCAGATGCATGTAGTGGAAATTTCCAGAGGCAGGAAATTTCCAGAGGCAGGCCAAACAGGACAGTCCCTACGTAAAAGGGGAACACTTCAATCTTCCTGGACACACAATTGCAGATCTAAAAGTAGCCATCCTGCAGCAAAAAAACTTCAGGACCAGACTTCAAAGAGAAACTGCTGAGCTACAGTTCATCTTTAAGTTTGACACAATCAACTCTGGATTAAACAAAGACTGTGAATGGCTTGCTAACTACAAAAGCAGCTTCTGCTCTCTTGGAATTCACACCTCCAGATCAGCTGCTAGAAGTGGGCCTCATCCTCCTTGATTGGATCCCCCTCGTCATCTCCAGCCTGATCCTGGCCTGCATATTTATTCCTGCCTCTGGAAATTTCCACTACATGCATCTGACGAAGTGGGTCTTTGCCCACGAAAGCTTATGCTCCTACACTTCAGTTAGTCTATAAGGTACCACAGAACTCCTCGTCGCTTTTGCAGATTCAGACTAACACGGCTACCCCTCTGATACTTGTAAATGGAGGGTAAGCTATTAAGGCAGGAAATTAATTCCTTCATCTAGATCAATGATCTTCAACTTACGTCTAATATTTCCAAAGGCGTCTGTAGTGCCATTTGAAATTTTTTAGGAGTTGGCAAATGTAAAAAGGCTAAAATCCACTGATTTTGCTGGTGTAATTGCTATAACAAATATGATTTAAATGAAATAAAGATAAAGATGATAATGTTTCAAAAGATGAAGACATGAGTTGGTTAATATTAAGTTGAAATCCCAAAGTGGAATTGGGTCTCTCACTGGCAGATAAGAATCAGCGGACCTTGTCAGAAACCTTTTGAAAATATAATAAGAAAAACTGATTTATTATTCACGGGTTAAATGTACTCTAAATGAAAAAAACAGACAGATCCTTATCTTTTAGAAATAAATATTTAAAATAAATTATGTATGAGAACTAAATTAAAACCCTCAGGTACCGAACCAGAGAATTTGTCGGATCATGGGAGGTTAACATTGTCTAGCAGCATTACCAAAACTTCCACTGTTTACTGGGCTCTTAGAAGACATTTAGGGGTAAATTAGAGCTAAATAACACCACAGAACATTGAGAGAAGGTCTAGGTAACTGTGAAGGGGCAACCCCGCCCCGCACTCAAGCCCAGGGAAACCACCTGGAGCCGGGGGTGGAGAGGACCCCACCCACACAGCCCTACTGGGCATGCTCCGAGGGGAGCCAAGATATAAAAGGCTGCTGGCCTGCTCAGAAGGGGCAGACCACGGCCCGAGTGGGAGCTAGCACCCAGCTGCCAGAGAGGGAGTTGCCAGGACTGCTGAACGCGCTGCTGCCAGGCCCCAGCCGGGCTCGCCCCCAGCGATGGAGCCGCCGGCTGGCCCCCTGTGACCCAGACACCAGACCAGACGATGCCAACCCCGACGCTGACCGGGGAAGTGTCGCTACAGCCACCTGACCAACGCCGACAGGTGGGACCGTGCTGGGCCGGGGGTAGGAAGTGACCCAGGGCAGGGAGCTGGAAAAGCCCCTGAGGGCTCGGTGTGTTGCGGGAAGGACCCCCTGCCGAGCCAGTGGTGGGAGCCACCTGCCACTGATAGGGCCCTGGGTCGGGGCCTGGTGGAGAGGGAGGGCCCGGGCCCCCCTACCCCTCCTGCCCTGAACCCCGGCGAGGGGGAAGCTCAGCCTGAGGACTAGGCCGCAGAGCCTGCATAGGCCAGTGGGCCATATTTCCCCTGATACAGGGGCAGCATACTTTGGGACTAGGCCAGTGGGCCGTATTTCCCCTAAAAGAGGGGCATTGCACTTTGGGGCTAGACCCAGGTGAGCCGAACTATGCCCCGGATGGGGACGGCAACCCCAAACCAGGGGGGAGCCCCCTGACAGTAACCATTTGCATTTCACTTTGGAGAGGAGCATTAAATCCACATACTATTATTGTCTGGGTTTCATAATTAATCTAATCTGCTCGCCCACAGCAAGTAGGTTTTAGCCTGGCGCGTCACACAGCATGGTCAGCGCATGCACGCGTGCGGTTCTGCGCGGCTGGCGAGTGGGGCTTGCCGCTGCTTGGCGAGCCTGATTATTGTCAGCCATGCAAGAGAAATAAATATCATTTTGTCTGAGTCCTATCTGACCTTTTTTATAACCTTCAACATTAATGGAAAAGGTAGAAAAATATATATCAGATTTGTTTTTCAATTGAGGAGAAATGTATCTGCTAATGACTGAATGCTCATGCCTGCTCTTGAACAAAGCTGAGGGCATCTGGTGCTGAATTTCATGCGAAAGACCCCCAAAGACCAAAGATATCCAGAATCACTCATTCTTTCAGACACCATTTATTCCTCTGCTTTGTTAGTTTCTAAGCTCATTGAAGGTCCTTCATGAGCACAGCAACCGACTTTATCCATATGAATTTATCATAAATTCTATGAGATAAACACCAATCCCAGAGTTCATTGCTTCTTTGCATAATTGAGACTAGAAAATTGACCAAAGCCTTGAAGAGGAAGTTACTCACTTCATGCAATAACGACAGTTCTTTGAGATGTGTGTCCCCATGGGTACTCCACTCTTGGTGTTGGGTCATCCTGGCACCGCAGATCAGAATTTTGAACAGCAGTAGTCAGCCGGACCACACATACGTGACTAGCGTCTCGCAATGTTTGCGCCCTTTTCCTCACAAGTGCAGTCTGGCTCCCACCAGTTCCTCTTGTCTGCCCGAGTATC